GGGGGGGACATTTCTCTGAGGACCACCAAAAAATTTTCATGGACCACCAGTGGTCCCCAGCCAACCAGTTGGCAACCACTGCTATACAGGTAGTCCCTGACTTACAACCATTCATTTCATGACCATTTGAAATTACAACAACAGTGAAAAAAGTGATTTATGATCATTTTTTTCACACTTAAAAACCATTGCGGAATCCCCAGGATCATGTGATCAAAATTCAGATGCTTGGCAGCTGGTTCCTATTTACAACAGTTGCAGTGTCCTCGTGTTTATATGGTCCACTTTTGCAACCTGTTTTGGACGGTTTTGCAGTGTCCCTGGGGTCATACGATCCCTTTGTGCAACATTGACAAACCAAGTCTATGGAGAAGCCCTGATTCATTTAGCTACCAGGTTACTAACTTAACAGCAGTGACTCACTTAACGGCCATGGCATGAAAGGTCATAAAGTGGAACAAAACTCAACAACTTTCTGTTAGCCATGGAAATTTTGGGCTCCATTGTGGTTGTGCATCAAGGACTACCTATATATCAAATGCAATATTTTGTTATTTGCATCGAGCGGGTCATATTCCAAGTTTGTTCTGACCTGGCTTGAAACATGACAAACCCTCTGTAGTTAAATAAATGTTCCCTTTATTAGCAGCGCCAGCAGCCCTGGCAAAAAGCCTCTCTCTCACAGCAGGGTAACCAGTCTGTCTAGCAGGGAGATGAATAGTTGTCTGCCACACCTATTCATCTCCGTCCCCTGTCTTTTATCCCCAGAGCTAGGATAGGGCTTTGCATGCAGCAATGGTCCAAGGATCAGCCCATAGATTTCCATTGCTCTCCTCTCCTTTGCCTTCGCATCTGCGTGTCAGTTACTGGACCCAGCTGTTCCTCCTCTTCCTCATCAGCCACCTGCAGGCCTGGGGGCTGTTGACTCTCCATCTAAGGGCTGATGGATGGCCCAGGCTCCGCTTCTGTCTCGCTCGCTGACAGCTCCATTCCCTCTTCCCCCTCAGAGCTCTCAGGTTGCCTTGATGCTGGCCCAGACTCCCATACCTCCTCCTCCTCCTCTGATTCGGCTGCTGGAGGGGCCGTGCAGCCAACAGGCCACAACAAAGTCACTTCCCTTTGGATAATTGTAATCCTTGCTAAAGGCGCCTAAATTGCTGTTGAGCCTATTTGAAGGATGAATTAAAGTCCAATTCATGAAAACGTTTTACATCCAGTGTTTGTATGTATTTTTAATCTCTCTCTTTTTTCTTCCTTCCTTATGTGGCCCCTCTAGAGATTTCCATTGGCAGGTACCCGGTATAGCAAATGTGCTGTCATTGGCAACGGTGGTATCCTACAAGGTAGCAGGTGTGGACAAAAAATTGACCAGGCTGATTTTGTTATCAGGTATCTGTTTTTTTTATTTTGGGGGGGAGCTCAGGTTAAAGGATGGGATCATAAGGAACACTTTCCATCCTTGGATTATTGAAGTAACAATTTTCTCATTTCCCCACCTTTCTTCTCCTTTGTCTTCCTTTCCTCCTGCTTCCCCTTCTCTTTATCTCTTCTCTCTTCCATTTCCTTCTTTTTCTTCTTTTCTTCTTTCATTTTCTTTTACTTTCCCCCCATCTCTGTTTCCCTACCCCCTCTCCCTCCTTCTTTTCCTTCCCCTTTCTCCTTCTCCTCCTTTTCTTCCTTCCCCTATACTTTTCTTCTTTCATTTTCTTTTTCTTCCCCATCCCCTTTTACTTCCCCACCCCCTTTTCCTTCTCCTTTCTCCCTTTTTCCTCTTTACCTTTCCTTTCACCTTCTCTTCCTTCTCCATCTTCCCTCCCTTCCTCTTCTTCCTTCCTTTCCCTTTCTTCTTCTATTTGTCTTCCCCTCCCTCTTCCTCTCCTCCCTTTTCCCCTCCCCTTCCCTTCCTCCTTCTCTTTTCCCTTCCCCTTCTTCCTATTTCTCTTCTCCCTGTTCCTCCACTCCCACCTCTACTTTTCCCTTCCCCTTCTCCTTTTCCCCTCCCTATCCCCTCCCCTTCCCTTCCTCCTCTTCCTCCTCCTCCCCTTTTCCCTTCCCCTTCTTTTCCCTTCCCTCTTTCTCCCCTCCCCTCCCTCTCCCTCCCCCCTCCCTTTCCCTGTTGGACCCAGGAGCTTTAATTTCTAGTATTTTTGCAATTAAAACCATTGCTTATTTGGGAATCCTATGGACATAAAACTCCCCCTCAGTATGATAAAAAGTGGGAGATACATCAGAAGAAAACAGCAAGGAAGAAGCCATTTCTTCGAGATGACAAGTGAAGTCTCCCACCACCTGGTTCTAGACCGAACATGTATGAAACAATATCAAGAATTAGTGCAAATAATTTTGGGCGTTGAGATTCTGGCAACAACATTCCCCATTTGAAGTTCTTACAAAAATACACCACCACCACCATCCTGCATTAAGAACCGAACCTACCCATTTCCCTTCTTTTGCAGTTTTAAATAACAGTACAGGTAGTCCTCAACTTATAACAGTTCATTTAGTGACCGAAGTTACAACAGCAGTGAAATAAGTTACTTATGACCATTTTTCACACGACCATTGCAGCATCCCGGTGGTCACATGATTTACACTCGGATTCTTGACCACTGACTCCCATTTTTAACAGTCACAGTGTTCTGGGAGTCATATGATCCTCGTTTTGTGACCTTCTGACAAGCAAAGTCTATGGGGAAGCATAGTGATTGCATAGTGAAACACCTGCAGTGATTGGCTTGAAAAAATGTGGTAAGAAAAGTCATGAAATGGGGCAAAACTCACTTAACAAATGGCTCCCTCTTTAGCAACCGAAATTCTGGGCTCAATTGTGGTGGTAAGTCAAGGACTACCTGTAATGCATTTGTTTCAGTTTAATCTCTGTGTCTGTTTTCCGTTTGCTCCCCCACCCAGGTTTAATCTGCCTCCCTTAAATACAACTGAAGATGTGGGAACCAAGACACACTTAGTGACTATCAACCCCAGTATTTTTCATATTAGGTAAGGAAGATTATGTAAATACAAATATTAATCAACTACAGTCTGTGAACGAAGAAGGCGGCCATTCTAAACTTCTAAGAAACATGCAGACTATAGTTTTTTTTAAAAAAATAAATACACGTTGATCTCTTTTGAAAGATGGCATTTTGCAAAAAAATCAAAATGGGCACCTAACAAAGGTTTCGTTCACATACTGTGGCTTGTCAAGTGTTGGAAGAAATATCCATTTGGTTCAGTTCCAAGCTGGGATGAAGCAGAACCACCAAGCACATGTTTCTCTGGAGCAGCTGACCACATGGAGTTGAGAGTGAGGGGTTTTTATACCTTCTCTCAGGCTTTGCACTTGAGCTTCCTGTTCCTGTGCAAGAACATGTATTCTGTTGGCTGTTGTCAGACTCCCATGGGGCTATGTAGGGGTCATAGCTGGCTCTGTAGCAGGGGTGGGCTACTATGGGTTCGCCCGGGTTCGAATATGGCTGGTTCAGAAAACCACCAAATTCCACTCCTGGCTAGCCCTGCCCACTCCAGCCCATCCCTTTCACCCCACCCCTCCCAGGAGTCTCCATGTGGCCCATTTTGGAATGCAAGGTAAGTGCAAGTCGCTCATGGAGGGTCAGGAGGGGAAAAAACAGGCCTCCCGGAGATTCCAGAAGTCTGGAAACTGGCCTCTTTCCAGTCTCCGGAGCCCAGAGGAGGCAGTTTTTGCCCTCCTAGAGGCTCGAGGAAAGCCTATGGAGCCTGGGGAAGGCGAAAACACCCCACCCCCTTGTGGTGCAGGAGGCTGACTAGGCCATTCCCATCATGGCCATGCCCACCCAGCAAACTGGGCAGAGAACTCATTGCTGTAACTTTTGAAGCCCACCCGTGCTCTGTAGGCTGTCTGAGAAGTTTGGTTGAAGTTTCTGAGGGTGATACAATGTCCTTAGGAGAGGACACAAGAGATTGTGCAATGTAGTGAGCTCTGTGTCTTAATGGGTTAATTCTATTATGTCCTTAGGGGGCATATCTTTAATCCCTTCACCCTGGAACTGACAGTCTTTTATAGATAGGCTGGCCCAATATTTCTCGAGGGAGCTGGGGCTCGTGAGTTTCTGTCTCCCTTAGGTTTTTTATTTCTCTTTTAGGGGAAATATTACATTCTGCCTTTTAAAAATATTCCTCAAAACATTTAATTCTTGTAGGAGGTGGGGGACTGGGTATAACTCTGTACATGAGGGTGTGGTTTTCTTTTGGGATTTTCTCCTCTCCTTTTTTTTTTTTTGAAGATTCGAAGACCTGAGGGATCCTCCAACGGCTTTTATAGAGGTTCTTCAGGCCTACCAAAATGCCCTTTTCCTCATTCCTGCATTATCCTTCAATTATCACCTTACAATTGCCTACCGTGCTGTAAACATCATGAAGGGTCGTGGCCTGGCCCATAGAGCATTCTTCCTCCACCCATGCTACCTGGCTGCCCTCAATAAGTATTGGAAACTGAAAGGTATGAAAGAAACACGCCTGACCACTGGCTTTATGTTCACCAGTTTGGCTCTGGAGTTCTGTGACAACATCTCTCTCTACGGCTTCTGGCCCTTTCCATATGACCTGACTGGAAAACCACTCAATCATCACTACTATGACAATGTGTTGCCACATCCTTCCATTCATAACATGTCCGAGGAGTTCTCCCATTATCTCAATATGTATGCCCAGGGTGTCTTGCGCATACAGCTTGGCAAATGCCAGTGAGTTTTGGGTAGGGAAGACAGTCCCTACCGAGGAATAAATCGGCCAGAGGAAAAACAGTTGATTTGCGGTTCCCACTAAAGCATGAATGTGGCAACGTGGAATTTGTACCATTGAGGAAAACAAGCTTCCACCAGGATCCTTCCAAAAACAGGACATCCCACACATTCTCTTGTAGCGTAACATAACTCATTTGTATTCTTACTCATCTAATGGGCAGAAACAGCAGCCTTTCACACAACCTGGGTCGAAATAAGGGAACATGCAATTGTTATGTTTGTAAAAAATAAAAAAAGAAGCTGTTTCACACTAAGTAACTGGCCAAAGCGGAGTCTTTTTCAAAAGTTTTTAGTTGGGAAACCAAGAAGGTTTATGGAGGAAATGTCAGTTATGGAAATGTGGGTGGTTGATTTGTCACAAGTTGATAATTTGTTGGAATATCCTTGAGTCCTCAACATGGCTGCCCTTGAAGAGTATCCGGAAGCGCCAACTGGTCCAAAAGGCAGCAGCCTATGCAGTTCTGTGAATGATTTGCAGATGAGATGAGATGAGATGAGATAGGAAGGGAAGGGGAGAGGAGAGGAGTTAAAGAAAAGAGAAGGGAAAGGAAGTGTTCTGATCCAAACCCTTTTCCAATAAAACAAACACAAACCAAAGGGAACAGAAACCTTTAATGATTCTTATGAATCCCCAGTTAAAAGGCTACTGCAAACTAATTAAGTTTGATAAGCATGAGCCTCGCCAAAACTATGAGGCTACCAAGAATAACAGATAAGGTTACCTAGAAATATTTTACAACACAAGAGTCTTCAAATACCAACTAAGATACTGCAATGTCCACGAGGCTCAAGTTTCAAAATGTCTTTGCTTCCTGCAAAGAATGTCGGATTCACAGCTGGCTTTTATCTTCTTGAAAGAAGGGCCATTGTAGCCTTACTCCCCAGTCTCCTATGCTGCTGCAGCTGCTCTTTCCTGCAAGCAGCCCTGAGCACATGCGCACTTTGGCACAGGCTCCTTGGGAACCTCATCACTGCTGCTGTTGCAGCAACTTCTGCTAATTATAAAAATACTTTTCTGGAAATTTCCCATCCTGCTTCATTGCCAGCCCCCACAATCTCTGAAAGCAGCAGTCCACTGGTCCTGGTCCCTCATCTGAGTCCTCGCTCTCCTCAGCTGTCTGTACCTGCTGCTGGCTAACCACAACAGGAAGGGAAGGAAGAAGAGAACTTTTGTTGCTTTTTTCTGTTTTCTGTGAAAATAGTGGCACACATTAAAAAAATGAAATTTTGATGCCTGTTGTCAAAAGAAGCTCCACCCATCCATCTAATTAAAGCTATATATGAATATATATATACATACATACACACACAGGTAGTTCTTGACTTACAACAGAAATGTGACATGACTGCTTATCACAGTTATGACCTTTTCACAGTGACAACCCCATGATCAAGTGATCAAAATTCAGGTGCTTGGCAACTGACTCATATTTATGACCATTGCTGTGTCCCAGGGTCATGGGATCGCCTTTTGCGACCTGACAATCAAAGTCAATGGGGAAGCCAGATTCACTTAAATAACCAACTTACTAACTGATCTATTGCAATGGTTCACTTAATGGTTGTGGTTAGGAAGGTCATAAAATGGAGGAAATATTCACTTAACAAATAACAACAGAAATTTTGGGCACAATTGTCATAAGTTGAGGACTACACACACATACACATACTCAGAGGCCCCTCTCTCCTGCTCGCATCACCCTTTTTCCCATTACTACTCACCCTGCAAGAGCAGAAGGCAGGGTATGTGATGTGTCTCTTCTACCAAGGAAGTACACTTGATGGGACTTTAGAAGAAGGCCCTTTTCGGTAGTGGCTCCTTCCCTTTGGAATATCATCCACAGTTTGGTCTCCTTCCTATTACTTTTCTGGAAGGTTCTGAAAACATGGTTTCATCAGCAGGCCTAGGAGCCCCAGTTTGATTTGGAGCTGATCAAATGGCTTGTATCAGGGATCTCCAAAATTGGCAACTTTAAGACTTGCGGACTTTAACTCCCAGAATTCCTCAGCCAGGCTGGGAAATTCTGGGAGTTGAAGTCCACAAGTCTCAAATTTGCCAAGTTTGGAAACCTCTGGCTTGTATGATTGTGCTTGTGGCCGCCATGGAAGAGTAGGGGGGTTCTGGGATTTTTATATTGTTGATTTTTAATGCTGTCTGCCACTTGGAGATACCATGGGTGAGTAGGGCGATCATGTAAATCTATTTAATAAATAATAAATAAATATTGGGCCCGTACTTTCCTTGATGCCTTTTGGTATAGTCTACCTAATGATTTAACTACCAAACTGGCTATATCACCAAGGCAATTTTTTTCAAATAGGGGAACAGATCCTTGGTGCAACTGGAATATCTACAACATGCTCTCAAAATCCCTACAGAATCCAGTGGCTGATCAAGTGATCCCTACTTTATTGAATCTAGGCTGTACATCTGGGTGGGATGTTATCAATCCATGTTCTCCCGAAAAAGCTCCTGGACTTGGCAGAAAGGTATTAGATTACCCATGATGTTTACATGGTGTTCCATATTAGCATTCTTGGAATACCCTCACCTGATTGGTTTAAACGGACTACTCTGTGATTGGTGGAAAGAACAACAGTGATTGGCCCGTAAGGAATCAACCGCGATTGGCCGTGCCGATTGCTGGAGATTCAAAGAGCTGTCATTGGTTGCGAGCCGCCGGCAATCCCTATATGAAGGGCTGCTGCGGCTTGCAGGTCCAGCACAGACCTATATACCAAATAAAGAGCTGAACAGTCACCCTGGTCTCGCGTCTCTCTTTCCCGCAATCGAACACATGGGAACTAAGAAAGCTAAATCATGGCCGAAAAAAGGATTGATTCAACATCAAGTGCAAAAGCTCTGGCCCATACATGAAGGTTCATTTAAGGTGGTTTATTGGTAAAAACTTGTGCACAAGAATCTTCTTAACTAATGTTCAGCACCTGGTTAGAGTTAAATTAGGATCAACGGCACTTAAAAGGGTTGGACTTAGTTCACTTGGGTGCGGGAAGGGAGGTTCAGCCAATCTCATTGTACACATGTACTCTGACAATAAAGGTAATAATAATAATATTTGTGGCTAAGTAAGGATTATAGGCTGATCTCCATTTTCACTCCACTCCCAGGTTCTGCTACTCCTACACTCAGCTGGCCTTCACAAAGTTCTTTCCATCCATCAATCCATTTATCATCATCCATCCATCCATCTACCTCTTCACCCACCCACCCACCCATCTAACCATCCTTTGTGGGGTTTCTAATAGATTAAGCAGTTTTCACAGTAATAACAAAACACTTTGCAAGTTATAAAAATCAGTGCCATAAATAATTAAACTATCGATCAGCTGTCCATTCACAAAACAACAGTCAACAATGCCTTAAGCACCCGAAGGATCTGTAGAGAATAAGGAAGATGACCTTGACAGGCCAAATCTGACACCCCCACAGCTTATATCTGAAACAAGAAAGTATGTGTAAGACACTTTCCTAATTTGCATAGATATAAGAAGGGGAAGGCACAATGAAACTTGCAAGATTCTGCTATACATGTCTCTTGGGATATATCAAATTAGGTTAGAAGGTTAAAACTTTACTCTGGCAAGATCCTGTCCATTAAGTGTAAGCAAATAAAGAATTGGACTCAGTTGGAACTCACTGTGTGGCCTCTGGTCTCAAACCTGACAACAACCTTCATGTAAAACATTCACCCTTTGTAGCAAATATTGTACTATATTGATTTTATACCAATGCCCTATTGCTATAGGAACTCAGCATGGAAAATTTAAGATGTCATCCTTCCTTTGAGATTACAATGCTGTTTATTACTTACTGGTATCATATTTCATATTTGTCTTTGGTGCTTGGTGTAGACTAGTGTTTCCCAACTTTCAAATATTGGGAACTTCAACTCCCAGAATTCTCAGCAATGGTCTTTTTGGCTGGGGAATTCTGGGTACCGAAAGCCACAAATCAGGCAATTGGGAAAACTGACCTGGAACCAAAATGGGTTGTGTTGTTTACATGATTATGGGCAGAAGAATGAGCATTTGACTTTTAAGCACAGCAATCATATTTTGTGTTCTCAAATGTTACCAGATAGAAACTACATGTATACAGGTAGATCTTGACTTATGATCATCATTGAGTCCCAAATTTCTGTTGTTAAGTGAGACAGTTAAGCCAGCTTTGCCCCATTTTGCAATTTTTCTTGCCACATTTGCTAAGCGAATCTGCTTGCAAGAAAGTCATAAAAGGGGATTCCATGACCCTGGCAGACTGCAACGGTCATAAATAAGAGCCAGTTGCCAAGCCTCCAAATTTTGTTCACTTGATCATGGGGATGCTGCAACGGTCGTAAGTGAGGAAAATGGTCAGAAGTCACTTTGTGCAGCTTAAAATGGTCACTACAAATGGTGTATGTGGAGGGCTAGCTGTATTCTGTTCAAAACAGAGAAAATGCTCTTAAACCAGTTCACAGATGGAAAGTATATTTAGACCAATGGACAAATCTCAAAATTTTGAAGATGTGCCTAAACCACACCTAGAATAATACTGCATCCAGTTTTGGTCACCACACTATAAAAAAGATGTTGAGACTCTGGAAAGAGTGCAGAGAAGAGCAACCAGGATGATTAGGGGACTGGAGACTAAAACTTATGAAAAATGGTTGCAGGAACTGGGCATGGCTAGTCCAGTGAAGAGAAGGACCAGGGGAGACACAATAGCAGTGTTTCAGTATTTGAGGGGTGCCACAGAGAGGAAGGGGTCAAGCTATTCTCCAAGGCACTCGAAGGCCAGACAAGGAACAATGGATGGAAACTGACCAAGGAGAGATTCAACCTGGAAATAAGGATAAATTTTCTGACAGTGACAGCAATTAACCAATGGAACTGCTTGCCTTCAGAGGTTGTGGGAGCTTCATCATTGGAAGCTTTCAAGAAGAGACTGGATTGCCGTCTGTCAGAAACTTTGTAGGGTTTCCTGCTTGGACTATATGACCCACAAGATCCCTTCCAACTCTGTTAATCTAACAAGGTCTTTCCCAATATGGCCGCCTTGATAGATGTTAACCTTCACAAAAATCTTCTGATCAGAAAACAATTTTTCTTAAATTCTTCTCTGCTGTGCCTTCTACAATGGGCTCTTCACCATCCCATTTTTTTTCCTGAGTAGATCAGTACTTCCAAGCAAAGTTGAGACTATCCACTATTATTTACTTTTCGAAAAAGTTTCTTTGATCT